ACCGGCGCAGGGGGGATTTGAGGGGGGGGGGGGCCCGCCCCCCCCCCGACGAACAGAATCAACTCTTACAGGACCAAACAATGCACAATCCCAACTCCTGATTGTAATACATGTTTGCTAAAGCAAGGAGAACTCAGGTAGCTCAAGCTACCTTTCGTGATTAGGATGGAAGCCGATTTTCTGCGCCCTATCGGTTTTCGGATCTGCTTTCGCCTTGTCTTGGTGGCTTCCAAGCTGCAGCAAGGAAGTGCTGCGCTTCCTGGCGCGACCCCATGTGTGGCAAACGGATGCAAACGGGAACACGGATTCCTCGCCCAGGAAGTGTCTGAGAGGTTTGACCCCGAAGTGAGACGTAGACTGAGTCTTTCAATTCTTGTGAATCCTCCCCTGCCCGCCAGAACGACGCGGGCCCACTGGACTGGAGATAAGATGCAAGAACTTGTTTGAAGTTTGGATCGTCTCAAACAACTAGCTTGCGAAAGGGCCTGAGTTGACCCCCCTCCCTCCTCCCTCGCCACACATGGACCGTTGAGCTCGCAGAACACGTTGAGCTTGCGTTCTTCACTGCGCTCAAAAACGTATGGGCCTGAACAAGTCCAAAGACTCATCGGAGTTCAGCATCTTAATGGTGTCCTGGCCAGCCAGAACACTTCGATGTCCCTGTCTCACATGGTTGCAGCCGTCCGGAGCCGTGTAATTTCATGTCCAAATCGTTTGACACGTACTGAATCGCGGTCAAAATGCAAAAACAATCAACACCACGTGCTAGCTTCTTGACCTTTTGAGTCCTTTTCTTTTGAGGGTCCCAAAGTGACCGACCTGGCCACTCCCTGACCTCAAACTGGAAATATCAAGCTGGGTCACTTTTCTCAGCAGGTCGAAACACTCTCCGTCTCAGAACTGATCTCGTCACCTCAAAGGTGTGCTGAAAAGCCCCCCGTCACCACTCCTGGAGGGCGATCTGCTCCTCCTGACGCTGCACCTTGCGCTCTTCCCACTCGCTGGCCTTGCGCGGAGAAGGAGCGAGTGGTCGGACCGAGAAGGAAAGGAACGGCTGGGAAGGTCAAACTCAAGAGAAAGCCCTTCGAAGAAACAGAAAGGAAAAACATATACGAGTTTATACGTGTGCAGTTTGTCAGTCACCTTCCAAAGAAGACCCCTTCGTTATTGCACAATACCTTGAGATACCTTGAGTACCACATAAAACAAAAAGAACACGCTAGGTGTTTCATGGCTTTCCTGGTTTTGTCTGTGATCAAGCACACATGTTTGACCTCTCACGTGGTAGGTTATACTATATATATATATGCATCTCTGGGTTGATCAAGCACACTCCCTGAAACAATCATGGAAGTGGACAACCACCTGTTGGTAGAGGAACATGGTCATCCAGGGGCCCAGGGGGCAATTTTCCACTTCCATGATGATTTCAAGGAGTGTAGCATTTGACCCGTGCCCGAACCCATGATTTTCTGATATTTTCTGGCACTCAACCAGGATGTTTGCCCTGATTACCAAGGGTTTGGTGTCGCGTTTCCAACACAATACCATAACCACGATCTACCCGCTGTTTATGTTTTGTCGTTTTCGGTTCCAGGGAAGATTGCTGAAGACCCGATGGAACCTTGAAAGCACTCGTCTAGAACATGTTAAACAAACAAATCAAACCCTGGTGTCCACATCCTGGCTCTTGATTGTCCTTTGATGGCCTTTGGCAGCCAGGCTCGGATGCTGAATATGTTGAGAGACCATTTAGAAAATCAGAGCCCAAGCCATCGTCTTGTACTTTTCTTGCCAATTCACCAGTAGCTCTTTGGCCTTTCCGGAAGGAGTTTCCAGATTCCATGAGCTCAACCCACGGCGTGGTTCCTTTGGATCCGATTCGCCGAAACACCTCAACCCCGACTTTGGAGGTCAAGGTCAAGAGGGTCTTGAAAGCTCAACCAGGTGTGTTTTCCAGCCCTGAAGTGCTGGAAGAACTCTGAAGAATTGCTTCATTGCTCATCATTGCTCACTGTCAACCGGCTCTGCTTCTTCCAGTCTTCAGAGCTGGGCCATCTTCTTCTTCTTCAGGTGCTGAGAAGACTTACTCGATCATCTCACCAAAACAATTGATCGGCTCACTCATGCATCGTTCTGACTTGGAGGAAAGCCATCTACCTCAAGGGCCAACCGATCTCACGCGGAGCAGCTTTCGGCAGTCGGTGGAGCGGAATCGAAGGTCCTGGGAAGCCTCTCTGCGATAGGCGCCACCCTGGGCGTTTTGGGTGGGATCTGGATGCTCTGGATGAAGATATAAAGGATGCTTCCACAATGGATCATACATTGAATCATACATGGAAATCCCAAATTCCATACCCAAAGCTGAAGAGCGTTTGGTCTTCATGCCAACATACACCCAACCAAGCCCTTTTTCTTCCTCCCCCAACCTCCCATCCGCCCTCTAGCCCCGCCCTCTTCCGTCGACCATCTTGTGTTGTGCGTGGTGACCACTGGTTGTCACATCTCTCTCGGGTGTTGATCCGCCACAACCCGTCCCAAGGGTTCGAACGTCGGGATCCACCAGCAGTTCCGGTGTGCCCAGACACGACCCTGTCTGGGACTGGCATATATATATATATACCGGACCGATCGGGCCAGGGGTGGTGGTGCCTGGGGGGGTCAATGGGGCGGCAGTCCTATGGCAGTCCCATGGAGTGTCTGGGAAGCATTGCCCAGTTCTGGGCGCCCAGGGCACCCACACACAGGGCGGCGGGAGTGTGGGACGGACGGACACCGAAAACCCAGCTGGCAACTGGAAGTACTCCGAGACCTACACAGTTCACCTTGGCAGCTTTGAAGTGTGTCTTTCTTGGTAGCTTTGAAGGGCCATGGCGAGTCGTGGTTGAGGATGTGGCTCGATATGGATAGATATATATATAGCTAACTATCACATCAGAGCAGAACATCTAAGAAACAAATATCAACCATTCTGTTCTGAAGGCTGAACTTCTAGACCTTATAGGTTTTCAAGAGAAACTTCATTTAGTCGTCCTGTCTGATCTCAGTTTCTCAGTGCCCCAAGTGTTCAACCATGTGGGGTCATCTCACCCGAACACCAAAATTCATCTCACTCGAACACGAAGTGCTGATTGCCGCACTCAACGGTCACCTTTTTGCACGATTTGGCGACATGCCACCCAACTGGCAGCTAGCAGTGCTAGCAGTAAAACACCGGCCAGAAGGTGTGGGCCCCAGGCCCCACGGCCAATTTCACGTGGCAGAAAGGCTGGTTGGTATGACACACATCCACGAACCCAAAAAAACAGTGAACAGGATTCAGAGTGAATCGCACTTCATCATTAACATCAGAAGGCACTTGAGGCCGTATAAAACCCTCGACCTTTCGAATTTCCCTATTACCACTTTTGACGTTATCGTGTTATTTTTGTCCTTATCCCTTTACAGCACTTTGACCAACTGCAACAATTGTAGTATAATGTAGTATACATGTGTGTGTGTGTGCACTGCATGCATGTGGTGTGTGGAAAGGTGTTTTAGGCTCGCTGTATTATCGTTTTTGTTTGGAGTCGTGTTGTTGTCGTTTTCATGCCTGAGCAAGTTGGAAGGCCATGTGGCACGACAATGCCCTACCCACCTCTGTCCAATTATATACCAATCAAGAGCAGTTATGCATTTTTGCCCTGACAATTTGGAACAGTAGGTTTTGTGTTTGCGTGTGCACGTATGTTCTTCACACTACGTCTCGCATGTCAAGGGTTTTCCACAAGAGTCATCGGTTATCGCTGTTTTGCTTCCTTATCGTTTTACAGGGGATTGAGCGTGCTTCCAGAAAAATGGACATGCGAATCCGAATTTCTTGCACGGGGTGCTTCTATAAACTCTCTCATGGCGATGGCCCGGGCGGAACGCCCATAGAAAAGCATTGGCCCTGGCTATAATCTAAAACAATGTGATGTTCAACTGGCAGGTATAAAGGATAAACAATGTGATGAACATCTAAAGTAGGATGTTCATCTAGAACAATGTGATGTTCATGTGTCATCTTACTTTGGACATGTTGTGAGGTCTCTTGGTGAGAGGTCTCTGGGTACGACCCGTACTGAGAGGTCAAACAACGACAACAGCGTCTTCCGGGTGGAAACCATTGAGCGTCCCCAGCTCCCAAAAGCGTCGCTTCAAACACCGATACTACAGTGCCAGCAGCGTTGGTGGTTGAACAATCTTTTGCCATGCTGATCTTATTGGTTTCTGGTTTTCCCTGCGTCCCAGCTTCTCTGCCGAACCCCAGGCTTCATGCAGGATGGAATCCAACTTTCAGCTGTTGGCAGCGCATCTCTTCGATTCTTTTCTAATAACCCAGGTTGCATCGGGCCCGTCTTTGAGCCCAGCGTACCAAGTGGCACTTCTGGGTTTCTTTAGGACAAGACGCTTGAATCTCCTGCGCTTCCTTTTCTTGTCTTGCACAACACCCATTCAGCCGCAGCACACAAGGCTCATCTTCATTGGGAACACGATTGCTCTTTGCCCGCAAAAGCAATACTGAAATGCCACCAACAAAATATGCCATTAACAGGCAGTTTTGAAAGAACAGTTATCTACACTCCCACAAACTGTATAACCTGGTGGAAATGAAAATCGGATTTGAGTGGATTCGTGTGTCTACTTTGTATAGTTGAAGAAATGCCCTCCATACGTCAGGCTACATATATAGAAAAAACAATAATCGCAACATTCCAGGTATAAACCCTCATTCCAGGCATTCCAGGCATTCCCATTGAAAGAACAAACGAATGGTTACATGTCTATCAGGAAGTGATGGTCCTTTAATCCAAAACCATTGGTCAACCGACACAAAGGGACCTACAAATCACAGTAAGTGTGCCCAGAAACTCGCTGGCAGAGGATCTGTCAGTAAAACGAGACACATGAAGCTGCGTGGTAAATTCTGGCAGCGGATCAAAGCGCAACTTGGTCAATGCCAAGTGGCCCAGGCACGAAGGGGTGGATTTTAAAATGCAGAACGATGGAGCAGCCCTTCAGCAGATTTGCATGGGTCAAAACACATGAAATCCTTCAGGTACTGTCCAGAGTCTATGATATTTCTGAGATGTTCAGGGCAAGTCCCTGTCTTTGGCTTCTGTTGGCCAGTCTGCGTCAGGCGTCCAGAACTAGGCGCTTCAGGCGTCCAAAGGCGCTGATCCGGGAAGCCAGGGAATGCAGCACGCATTGATGACCTGTCAGAGTCGGCCCCTCCGATGATCTTCGCCTTTTTCTACATACAGTAGTAGTGGTAGCAGTAGCAGTAGCAGTAGCAGTAGCAGTAGCAGTAGTAGTAGTAGTACTATACGCGGTCTATCTATGTTAGGGTCCATAGTCCATAAAGGTCAAAATACAACACAGGGACGACAATTCCGATGGTTGGCCGTCAAATCCAAGCAAATATGTTTCCACGAGCGTGGGAAGTCTTATCCCAGAGAACCATTCAATTGATTTGCTTTGCAACCCCTGAAACCTGGAGTTTGTTGAAACATATTGACATATATTGACATATTCCCTTCCAAAGTCTTTTGCCTCCACTTGAAAAAAACAACAGGATGCAACACGTGCCGCTTCATAATTTGCTTTTTGAATATAACAGCGCCATTTTGTGTAACTCCTTAGCACATCCAAACTTTTAGCATCCAAACATCTCTCAAAAGCTTCCCGGCCTCCATCACCTCCAGTCTCATCGCTGAGCTAGGCGCTTGCTGCGGCGGAGGTTCTGCTCACCTGACGCGCGGTTCGGGTGCATCGCTTGGTGCGGGCTGGTGTGCAGCCTCTCTGTCTGCTTGGTGCGGCTGAAACTTCCTGCAGGGGGCCTTCCCAGTGTTCTCCGCACCGAGTCGCAAGGAGACCCGGCCGAGAAGATGATATATGATATCTGTGACCAAAGACCACACTCCCGGCATGGATGGATGTCTTTTGGGGGACATGAACCCCCTAGACTCGGATGACCATGCAATCCGGTTTTTTTACCATGACATCGGAATACCGTGCCATCCACTTCCGATGATTTCAGTGTACTTTGTCCATTTGGAGATGACCCCATTTCAGGCCATACAGGCTCAGGTGACTTGGTCGAACGAACCACACATCCACAAGTATAGGTCCTGGTAGAGGGATGTCATGGATCATTAAGGATCAACTTCCTGGCCATGTTGGAGAAATCTTCCAAACTACCGGGACCCTCAAGATCAGGGCTTTGTGGCAACAGGTGCGTGCTTCCAAACCACCTGCTACCAGCGCGGTTCCAAACCACCTGTTGAAGGTCATGCAGTACTTTCCGAGCTCATGGATTCATCAAGGCATTATGGACTTGTCAAAATTGAGGTAAGGTGCGAAACAGAAGCTTTAAAAAATGTTTAGCTTGAGTTGGAGAAGCTTCACTATGATCGAGTGGGAAAGGGAACGACCCAGGGAGGATTTGAACCTCATTGAACCTCTAACTTTATGCTTGTCAAGCAGTGTGCAGCCCAAAATGAGCCAACAGCTTCCAATCACGACGCCTTATCCATTCGGCAACTAGGTCACTTAAAGACATACCCTCTCTAGATATCTCTAGATATCTTACCAACCGCAATCTTAAATTGCGCGACGGGCGCAGTAGGTTCGGATAACCATGGCGTGGCGTCACCCACATGCCCTGGCATTCACGGTGAGTTTCATCCCACCATCTTGACCTTTTCTTTTCAGATCCCTTAAGGGTCAAAAAAGCTACCGCCCAAAAGGCCGAGGTCAACCTGTTGACGTAAGCTTTGATCGCCCGAAACAGCCCGGATCATGGCATCCAACAAAAAGAACACGCCAAGTGGCCCTCGGCGGCGACGCGGGGTCGCTTGGTTGCTTGCTCCTGTGACGGAACGTCATGCAACAAGGGTGGAATTCCCAAGCCGGTCTTCGCATAGATCGCTGACCTGCTCCGTGTTCCTGCAATATCAAGGTTCACCAGTTCACCTTTCAACTTTTCGTTCTGTGCAACGAACCCTCAAACATCCTCAAACTTGCTTTTGCAGGTTCAGCACTGGCCTTCCCACCTCGGCCCGCTCCTGCTCGCTCGGGCGTTCACGCGCAAGCACCTCACGGGGGTCGCTCACCTGCCGCGGCGAAACCGAGAAACGAAGCGGATGGGACGTGAGGAGAGAAGCCAAGAGAGGTTGAACAGCCTGCCCATTCCATATGTACCACATTGTACCACTACAGGCTCCATATGTTCAGGTCTCTCAAATTCTTTCAACCTCTCTTGGAGCACCATCAGAGATCACAGAACCAATTCCCAGCCATCAGAATCGACCTTGGTCCCACTCATCCGTCGAAAGCAAAAACGATTTGGATGGAGTTACCTCGACTGGCACGATCATAAGGGGAGATTGAAGGATTACTGATACCCCCAATCCCTAAAGCCGAAGCCATGTCCGCTACGACTGGAATTTCAGTACAGGGGAATTGAACCCTAAAACAACCAGTGCCTTTAAGCAATGGAAAACCATATCTTTAAACAACAACGGCTCCACTCTTTCGTTGGGCTCATCCAGTCACCATACTCCGGCTCCCTCCATCCCCCCAGTCTTCGCCTGGATCACCGCCGAGGCGCGCGAGTGTGCCCGGCCCGCCGCCGCGGCCTCCACCGGCGGCCGTCCGGCGGTGTGCCGTTGTGTAGGGTGGTGGGATGGTTTGGGAAGTTCATGGATTGGTATAAATGGTTGGAGTGAAGGGAGTTTGGTCAAGATGTCAAGTTCATTCAATTCTGGCCTGCATCATACCGGACTGTGGTGTTGTTTTTGGATGCTTTTTTGTGTAGAGATTCCCAAGCGCATCCCTTGATCATTTCCAAGGTCTGCTAGAAGAAACGGACATGACTCGACTCAAGGATATGACTCAACATTGCTTCTGACAAATCATGCTGTTGTTTTGTCAAGATCACTGCGAAATTGGTCGGCGTGGAGCTCAGATCTACATTGTACATCGAAAGTGGAAACATCTACAACTGCCGCAGTCGGATCATGTATGTGCAGTTCTACCCCAAAAACCTCCCAAAAACAAAAGGCAGGATACCGTATACATCCGTATACCGGTATATACGAAGTTGATCTGTTGCGGACCGACCTGTGGGTTCGAGGTCTTTTTTCAGACCGGCCCAGGCAGGTTGGGTTTCTTGGGCGCACATCGAGTACAGGGTACCAACAAGTACAGGGTACCAATGGGTACCAGTACTGCACAGCCTCGGTTTCGACCGAGCGAAGCTTGGCCCCCCCGAAACAACGCACGCGGTCGGGCCCCGACACGCTCGGTCGGTCGGTCCAGGGCGACGAGGTTCGACGAGGTTCGACGACACGCGGTGAGAGCCTGACCTTTTGGAGATGTGTTTTTCCCAGACGCTCCAAACAGCTCTTGGTCCCTCAACACCCTAGGGATTTGAGGGTCCGGACCCCGGTACGGCCCCTACTTAGGAGGGTCCATGATCGCCTGGGTTAAATGTTTTTTAAGGGTCAAATGGACCTGGAGCTTCCAAGGGGTGCAATAAGTGGAGATCCACCAGTCGTGTATGGTATTGGAGACCCCGATTTCGGAAGGTACTGGTAGATATATAAATATTCCAGTCATTTCCAGTCCCTGGATTGTTGGGGAATGATCCATGCCGGGATCACAGTCATCGATCCCGACACAGAGCATCATCTTCCAGGACCCCCGGTTTGGGGGGTAGTGAGGCCCTTAGAGGTTACAAGAGGTGTCTATTGACCGCCCCATCCCACCCCTCAAAAGGGTCCTGGTTCTGGTTGAGTTTCGTTTGTAGGTTTTAACATGCTTTGATCCTTGCCCAACTAGGTCAAGGCTCCCATGAATTTGCCACCGATTCCATTCCACCCAACCCCGCAGCTCCGCATCAGTGCTCCGCCTGAGCCGCAGCAGAGCGTCCGCAGCTCGGGGAGGTCCCCGCCGAAACCGCCGCAGAGGCTGCAGTCCGCAGCAGTCCAGGTGGGCCCTGCAACGAGCATTTAAGGCATTTGGAGCAGTTCATCTCAGGTTGTATGACCTCCAGGAATGAGACATACCCTGTGACATCTACGAGAAAGCCACACCCTGTTGTGCTTCCGCAGGGAGGAATTCACCGTGTGTCCAGCAGATCAAATGTTCCATTCACTCAAAGCAAGTAATTTCGCATGATTTCGCCAAGGCAGTTCTCCAAGCGCGTGCAGTGACTGTAGGGTCTGCAGCCCTTCAGGTACAATTGGGATTCACCCCCCCTCAATCGCTCTCAAGCATAGTATGGCTTTTGAAATTGTTGGATGGTCCAAATAGAACTATATCTCACTGTCCATTCCCTATTAATTTCTCTAAGTAAGAGTCAAGTAAATCTTGTTATATAACTAGCAGTTCCATTCCATCGACAGGGGTGCTGAGGATACAGGTGCCCAGAACATCCGCTCACTTAGTTCCTTGGAAGTTCTGCCGCTTGCACCACAGAGCCTTTTCAACCCTCGCTTCCCATCCCTGCCTCAACCCTTTGGTGCGCCTCCACAGCTTTCGGGTGTATCGCCTGCACGGTCGCTCGAACAGTATAGGAGGTGGTCTAAGGTAATTAGGTTGGGTCGCAACCCGTTTCGGAGACTACCTCGGAGTTCGGGGTGCAGGCTTGGGCATCCGCAGCTGTCCAGCCCGGCCTGCTTCGCCTGCTTTGCTTGGGCTTCCAGCGCCGCTCGCGCAGCTTTGGCCACTTGCGCGGCGCGCTCGCGGTCGCTTTGCACTTCCTCAGGAACGGAGCCGAACCAAGTCAAGCAGGTCTCTGTCTGTGGTCAGGGAAAATGGTCGTTTCCAGCGAGCATGCATTGAGGTAGACCTAGAGTTTGCGCTCCAAGAGCCAATATATGTACAATATGTGTGTGTGTATATACAACTCAATTTGGCAAACATTCCAAGATCACAAGCCTTGGGTGAGGCTTGTCTGCCAGCTGTTTGTTTGGAGGATATATGAGGGATTATTGGGTATGAACAAGTTCCGAGTTGTTGGGAGGACAAGCCCCGGCCCGTCAATCACCCGCGCCTGGCCCGAGGTCCGCACCGCCGTACCGGCCTGCGCCGTGTTTGCGGGAACTGAAGGGCAGCGGTGACTTTGGTGACCCTGTGCAAAAGGGGTCCATGGAGGCCATAGAATCTCCAAAGTCTTGGAGGCCATAGAATCTCCGTGTTTTCGTCCATAGAACTCATAGAACCTACAATGTGAATCGAAGCGAGTCCAGCTCACAGACGAACGAGCAAGAACTGACGAAAGAGACCCCGGCCGATGTGTCCCTAGCCCCCTTAGAGCCGAAAGAAACACACGAAGAAACAACATTTAAAAAACAAACTCAGTCACATGATTCTGATGTGTTTTTTTGAATCAGTAGTTTAATAAGTCCCCGCAACTGTCCCCGCAATATCGGAGCGTTCAGGCGATTGGCAAAAAGGCTGCCGCCCAGGAACACACGAAACGATCAAGACCCTACCCAGACCCATAAGGGGTGGTTAATGGACACCCCGAATCATCTCTAAGGGGCCATTCATGAACATCCCTTGGGGGGTGCTGGTAGCCCTGGTAGGCATGCAAAACTATGCCTTATGACTAATGACTCTTGTCCACAATGTAGACCAACCCGACCATGAGATCCCAGCCGGACTGGACGGGTCTTTGGACTGCAGCGCGTGCTGCTGCCTTCCGGAACCAGAGGAATCGATCCGCAGTAAAATGAGTTCAATATACCAGGACACCCGGGCCAGGGGTGTCTATTGATAGCCCCTTAGAGGTTAAGGGGTGTCCATTAACCACCCCTTGCGGGTCCTAGTATAGTTCCAATATCTCAACAGGAGAGATATGTTGATAATACCTTGCCTAGCAGACCCTTGCAGCTGCAGAATACGGAAGGAAGGGTCCCTACCGTCCCTCTCATTCAACCAACCGCCGTTCCGTGGAGCCTCAAGGGACCGCCGCTGCCGCGTGGGCCATCCGTCCACGAAACCATGTGAGTGGGAAGGTGAGACGTCTCCCTAGTGAAACAATCATATGGGCCCCATATACCAGGACCCTCCAAGGGGTGCCCAATGGAAGCCTATAGGTAGTGTGGGGTAGTTCATTGGACACCCCGACAGGAGGGTCCTGGTAGAGAAACGTCTTCCTAGAGAAGGTCCCTAGTTTTGTTCACCACCTGGGACTGGTCGAACCGGATTGAAACATGGTCCATCCGAATTTTTCGGGGGCGCCATGCCCCTCCACTTCCGAGGCACGGCTATGGATGCCAGGCTTACTCCCCCGGGGGTGCGCGCCGCTGCGCCGCTGCGCCGCCTCGGGCGACGTCACTGCCACCTTGGGTACTTTGACGCGTTCCTGGACGTCGAGAGGGAGGTCGCCGAAACCTGCAGAGACCCCCCCAAACCATGAAGGTTCTTCGTGCGTCGTGCAGGTCCTGAGGTTTGGGGGTCTGGCCATCAACTATGAAGTTAGTAGAGCTCTTGGACCACAGGCAGTCTCTTATCTATACGACCCAAAAGAACAAGCGGACAAGCGGGATCTTGCTCACCACTGCCAAGAGAGATGCTTCGTGGTCTGCCCAAACAAGCTGCGCCAACGTAACCTCATGCCGCATGCCATATGCTGTTTGGAAATTATGCAAAAAGTCTGCGGGATGGCTTCAGCCCAAAGCATCCTGCAGTTCACATCCCAGAAAACAAATGCCCGGCAGGCAAATGGCCAAGTCCTCACATCCCAAAATGATTAGTCTCAAAGCATGAGCTCTCCCTCCAGCTCCTTCCCTGCCAGCACTGCCTGGTTCTCCGCCTTTTCCCTCTTCTCGTCGCCCGGCTGCGACGTCCGCACACGTGAGGACGACGAGGCCGAGGTCGTCGCCCCTGGGACCTGACGTTGAACTCAGAAGCGCTTTGAAAGACCTCATCTCGGCACCTGCTGTGCGGGTGTGGATTGAGACTAAACGCTCCTTGCTCAAACTCACATGGACCCTGGGAATGAGACCCGGAAAGACTGCTTTCCTCTACCAACCAGTGGTTTTTACAGGGTCGATGTGAGTATTCCACGGGGTAAACGCTCCTTGTCTCATAGGCACATTGACAAACAGTGGACCAAAATGCTGTTGTCCAGCAGCTCCATGGAGGACGGGTGCGGACTCCATGGAGGATGGGGGTGCGAGGATGCCACTCGCTTGGGGCTCCCAAAACCGACCCCGGGTGGTACTTCCAATGGCCCTCAGACCCTTGCGAGCAGAAGGCGTCGGTCTGTGGAGGGGTCTTGAGGGCCCATCGATGGGTTCGGCAAAGGTGATGAGACACGTTGGTCTGGTTTCTAGACCAAAGACTTGGGTTGGAGGAGGAAAGCAGGAGTTGTCTCAAAAGACCTATTACGTTTTTTATCGTTTTTTAGACCACCTTTCTTGGAATCTCTTTCTTTCAAATGGACACTTCGATTGGACGGACCGGCAGGTATTAGACCACCTATTATTACGTATGGGGCCCGGGTTCTTTTCAACAGGCATGACGTTACAGGCCGGGGGCAAAAAAGGAATAAAAAGGTGTGTTCCCATGAAACCACCAGACTGCCCAGTACTCCACCACCCCATCCCCACAACACCACGGTTTCCTCGCGCCTCAACGACGCCTTTGGAAGCTGCCCGGACGGGTGTTGGCGCCGCCTGCCGTCGCGCGTCGGGCGGTCGGCGTACCCCCGGGGGTGTCTTCCGCCCGCAGCCGGAAGGAACCACCGTCAGGTGGAACAGATCGGACGATTGAAAACGAAGAGATACGCAGGACCCACGGTCCGCGGGGGGATGGACACCCCTTATAACCTCTACAATAAGGGGCTATCAATGGAAGCCCCCTGGTCCAGATGTCCTTGTCTATGGTCGAACACAACACAGCGTGACCCTGGGACCTGAGGCCATGCCCCCCCTTCTTGAGGCCACGCATGTGTCACCCTGAATCCCCCACAGTTGATTTTCGTGTCCACCTCCTTCAATTCATCCAATCCAAACGCAGAAATGAAGGAAAAAAGAAAACCAAAGGCCAACCTTCGGAAAAGCAGTATGGTTCGTTTTACTTTTTTCATCCAATCCAAAACCCACACGACGTTCGCCCCACTCCCCACCGTTTAAACAGTTCTTAGCACCCCAGTCGACACTGGCATGGCTCTCCCTGGAACCACCCGGCCTGCACAGCCGCCTTCGCCTTCGCCTCGGTCTCCTTGGTCTCAGCTTTCGCCTTCGCCTTCGCCTGCAGCGCCTCATCAGACTTGGCCTTGTGCAGTGGCAGGTGTGGTCTTGTCAGTGGTGCGCAGGCCCGGTGCCCAGGGCTTCGGTGCCCAGGGCTTGGTGTACAGAATAGTGGGGAAGGGGGAGTGGTTCTACTTTACATGTCCAAAAACTCATGGTGGAACAAATCCACGTATCAAAATGCTTTTCCAAGCGCCCAACAGTTTTCGGTTTTTGCGAGGCTTGACATGTTCGGAGTTCTTAAAGGGTAGCAATGCAGGTTTCCTGGAGTGCAGGTCTCCAGTCGGTGGATGCAGGCTTCAAGCCACTCTACCACTTAGATCCGCAGGCCGCAAAGACTTTTGGGTGCTACGAGACTTTTGTGTGTTCATGCAATGTTTGTTACCGTTCTTCTATGGTTTTGCCGGCCCAAAATGGCAAGTCTCAGTGAGCTGAGCTTGGTGGCACTGCCGTGGACCCGCGACCTTTGACCAAACAAGCACGCACACCCTGCCGGCAGCGTCGAGCGTTCGCCGTTGGGAGTCCACCGTTGGAGCGTCCCTTTTGGTTTCTGGTTGGGGCCAGAGCACTCACTTTGTGCTGGACAGTGCAAAAATGGCTGTAGGACATTGTCTCAAGGCTGTGCCTAGCACAGGAAAATATTATGAAATCAGCATCTTTGCACCGGACTTCACAAAAGAAACACTATATTTATATATACAGGGACAAATTAAGGCCTTGCAGGAAAGGCATTGCGGATTTGGCCTCTTGTAGGCCCAAAACACTATGAACACCTGCATAAAACAGCGTCAATGACCAGCATTGATGATTCCGAGTCCCTCGCACTGTCTTACGCCCTTTTAGGGGCGTCCGCAAGACGCCCCTCGCAGCTCCTTCCCCGGCCCAGCCCTCCGCAAAAGCGGTGTCTGGCGCCTTGCGTCGCTCCTGTTCGGCACGCTCTTCCGCTTCAAGCTTGGCGATTTGCTCCTTCCTGTGTTTTGGCCCGAAACACAAGCGTGGCGGCCATTGGCGATCAGGGTTGCAAGATGTTGCAAGGTTCCAGGTTAGAGTCGGAGTTATAGGTAGCGCCTGGGACACCCGTTTTGTTATATGATGGAAACTGCCAAAGCTCCCTGACCTCCATGATTGTTCAAAAAGAGTTTTGTTGACAATATAGTTGCATATTTTTGCTTTTAATAACGGACGCGCAAAAATATCCCTCTGACTCTGGTAGCATCAGGGAACTCCCGACTAAAGAGATCTTCAGTCTAGGGACTAAACATGACTAAACGGCTCCGAGAACATGCTGACTTGCACGCTTTCTCCAACCAACATGCTGACCTTGCAAGCAGCAAACGTTGAAAAAGTATATAACGGTGTGATCTTCATCCATCGTGAAAAAAATGTGAAAATAAAGACGGACCGTTAAAAAAAGTAAACCACGACGCCAGCTTGGTGAAAGGAAAACGATGTGATCTTCCAGGCTCCATCAAATCCATCGACGCTCCAAGCGTCGTGTATTCGATGTGGCATCCCATCGTGAAGGACACGCCGCCCAGTGGCACCTTCGGAGAGGCCCAGCCTGGCGCGGTGCCCGCGGGCACCCGACGACCCCCGACACGGATGTGGGGCGCCTGGATCCACATAGCTGCTTCTGAGAAGGTGAGGAAGGAGTGTAGGTGCCAGGGCACAGTCATGCCTTCTGAGAAGGTATGTGGATCAGATCCATAGGGTTGGTATAATAGGTACAATAAAACACCGCGACATCCGATGCAACAGGAATGAACACATCCTAGATTAATGATTAATCGAACCGACCAAAAGCCAAGGAATGTTGGCAGAGACTTTTGATGATCTGTCCACCATCAGCCACAAATGGCAGGCTGTGTATAGTACACTCCTGAGTCCATTCAGGACTATAGATACATTTAATTTAGATACTATCATGATCTATCATGTACTGATACCTTGTGGGCCTTCCTCCCTGCAACTGAAAAGACTCTGTAAACCCAACGTAGCCATCACCAACAGCTCGCCGTCCAAACGAGCGAAGTCATCCGGGTCAGGACAAGTCAGAACACGACCCGCCTGACCAACCCCTGAACTTCCAAGGACCTCCAAAGGTAAGAACCTCATCAGGATTGTCACATACTGGTACCATACATCCCCAGTCATCCCCAGTCACCCCACCGAACCACCTTCCCCATACATACCCCGGCCTGATCCGGATTGGTGGGCCACCCCATCCAAGTCTGGAGGCCCCTGAAAAACACTCCGAGTTGAGCTCGAACGAACGTCTGAACCGTCTGTCTTCTCGGCCTCGTGTCCAGGTACGAAGCGTCGAAAGCTCCTTGGCTGCAGCTTGAAGGATCTCGTCTTTCACACCTTCAGTTCCTGGCGAAAAAGAGCTCGCCCACAGCGCTACTAGGATGGTGGGAATCCTTCGGATCTGGGGAATGGTCCACTCACTCCAGGTCCCTTCTGCCACCTCGGGAGGACAGATTCTAGAATATTTCAGGCATTGATACACTACACTCGAAGCCTTGTATATTATCCTATATAATTTGTATAGTAGTTCTTGATTTGTATTGTAGTAGCATGTTTGCACTTGAACATGTACAGGACAGTCACCTGGAGAGGTTCTTTGATGCAACCAACCGGGTTCGGCCATGGGCCTCCGCCGGCCTCCGCCCCCCATGGTCGAAACTCATGTCATTGAACAATATGAACAATGAAGACGTGAAATGCGTTTGGCACTAATTGTATACTATAAGGTAGAACACTGGAATGGTTTTGCACTAATTCATTTTGGGGATGAACTACATTGAATCCGGTGTTTGTTCTTCTTCCTTTGCTTGTGGTACTGGTTTTTGCTTGGAGCCTGGTTCAAATCCCAAATCCGCCGTCATTCGAACCAAATCGCTGGGTCCACAGAACATGTGTCATCCCCGAAACAGCATGGCCCAATCACAATCACGGCCCTGGGAGAGATCTTCCCACATGGACCCACATGACTCTGAAAAAAACGCACCGCAGCATTTGTATCCAAAAACAAGAACAAGCGCAGCAGTTCGAATTGCCCATCACTGACACGACATGTCGAGAGAAAAAGGCTTCAAAACATCCTTCCGAAGACCCGGATGTGTCAGGCTTTCCCACGGAAGAGTCGGGACGCCGCCTGGATGATGGGACCAAGTGCTGAGGTCATCCTCCAGCACTTCCTCCTCCTGCGTCAAAGGTCTTCTGAGCCAAAGAAGTACAGTAGCATGGCGTCTTTTTCTGGGGCTCGTCATTAGTGGCGGAGGCAACCGCAGAAAATTGATGTTAAACAGGGGTGGGAAGTGCTGGCAAATGGTTTTTTGGATGTTTTGGTCCTTTGCACCCAAGCTGCTATGCTATCTATGCACTCCAGCACATCCCCAACACTGGCTCACCATGACAGTCACACAGCCCCAATACTTCTCCACATGACCCGCTTTTCTTTTCCACACCAAAACCGTCCTCCTTTGCCCCGCAAGCGCATCGGCTCATCCACCGGGACACCGCTTCCCTCCGGTCCACTCTGGTCCACTCGTGCCGCGGTCACGTAAGAAGAGGCGCCTGTGGCACGGGGAGGCCTGCGCCACACCGCTGGCAGCCCAACATCTCGTGTGTGGCACAGGCGGTCTTCTCCGAAAAGGTAAACAAATCCTGCGCCGTTCGGAGCGCCGGTTGCGAAGTTGAATCAATGAATGTGTGAATTCTGAAATAAGAGTTGGCTGGATGCTCAACACATGTTCCAAGTTCCAAAGTTGACTTGGGGATCCAATATGAATTTATCATGATATTAATAGATCATTTTTGTAATAGAAATTCTATGATAAGCTCCCATCATTTGATGCATAATAGATATAAATTGGGTCCATCCTATTGCCAGTAACCGTGGATGATGATCGTTGGTAGAGGCCTTGTTCAAAAGTAGTGATAATTGTTTACTGACTTAGACATGGATAGACCCAAGATATAAAATACTTGAGGCCAAGGGGGGGGCGAAAGCTAGCGCTCCAGAATGGGAAAGTGGAGGGCAGCGAGGTAGGAAAAAACACGGCGCTCTTTTTGGAGGCAGGGGTGAAGAGTCCTTTATATGTGGCTCTTTGCCCGGATCCTCCTGCGAGAGAAGAGAGAGAAGAGAGACGGAAAGACGAGAGACAGAGAGGAGAGAGAGAGAGAG